CCATTTCTTCTTCATTTTGCTTCGTTCACTGGGAAGGACCAAGGTGTTGTAGTGTTCCAGATATATATGTAGCTCGATACTTTACGTACCTGAAGTAAAGCACATCCTTGACATCGGGCTGAGCCTGAGATGTTCACTGAAGTAACAGGAGTTCAGAGGCACTCGAGTGGTGTAGGGAACAATTTTTGTATTTTTTTTTTTCCCAATAGTAAATTTCATTGTGGGGAGAGAATGGAGGGTGGCTGACTGCCTTTAAAAAAAACACAAATAAAACCCCCAGACCCACCGTTCTGCCTATGATATCCTGCCCGGGGTCTTTTGCAGTCTTAAATGTCACAGAAAGTTCTCAGTTTCTGTGAATTTCACATGCAAATAGTTTACAAAAATAAGTATTTAGAAAGCTCAGTTACTCTTCATGTTGCAACTACTTTTTTATCTGTTCTGTTGTAAAACAAGAGCTTCTCTTAATCCAGCAGTGCCCCTTTCTGTATGGAATATTTAGGATTTGGATGATAGCTGTTGTAGCTTGCCTTGACTGGAGTATCTTTTCCTGGAGCACTTTTCTCACTGTTATAAATAAATGCAAAATAACGTCTCTTAAAATAAACAAATTACACTGTGTGTGGTGTGCTCTCCTTTCACACACGCACTCCCTGGAAAATCCCAGCTGAGTTTAAACCATGATTCAGTGCTCAAAAATGGGTGGATGTGGGGATGTGTGAGGCCTGGGACGCTGTTAGGAGAACAAGGGGGTTTAGCAGCTCCTGTGTTATCTTATTTTTGTGGTAGAAGCAAGATCCCTGCTGTTTAGGAGCACCCTCTGGATGTCTGCTGGCACTTGGTGACTCCACCACCTTCTGGGATGGAGACCTGATCCCAGGTAAGCCCAGCAGGGCTCTTATCAGCCTGCAGGAGTTGTCATCCCAGAAAACTCAGTAGCCAAGTAGCCTCTGTGTTGCTAGTGGTAAAACTCTGCTGGTCAAGTCCACAACCAAGCAGGTTTGATGCTAAACTGGAAGCTCATTTTATCCCAGCTGCAAATATCCCTGTTTGGGTTCCAACCACAAGAGGAGGCTGAAAGGAAACGTATAGTCCAGCTAAGCTTTGGAAGAGCAGCTCCCTCCCCAGCTGGACTTTGGTACTGGGAAGGAAAAACAATTCTTGGGGGTGGGATCCAGGTGAGTTTGGCCTTTTGCTCTCCCACTTTTGGTGTTTGCCTCTGGAAAGTGCGGGAGGGAACCCGATGCCACCGACCGAACCGCTGTTCCCTGCGTTTATCCTGGCACTGAGCCCTTGACTCCCTCTGCCAGGGAATAAATGGCACAGCAAAAAAAGGAATGGCATTTTGAGGGGGTAAAGATAAATGGGGCAGATCGAGACAAGCGAGGAACTGCTTTATGGGATGGAAGGTGCCGCACGGAGCTTTGCTGCCCTGTCCCGTGGACATGCAGCCGATGGGAGAGGGAAGGACGCTCGAATCAGAGCCGTGTGATGTTCCTGGGATGAAGGCAGCTTGGCCAGAGCTTGCCTGCTGGCTGTGGGAGCTGTGGGGAAGCTCCCATGCTGCCCACCACCCGGAATCCAGCCTGCCTCACCGGGCAGGGGCAGAATCGGGAGCAGATGGGACTGTCGCTGCCTTGTGGGAAAAATGTGGTGTTCCAGCAGGCACAAGGGCTGCAGGCACACACGAGGTCATGGAGCTATTAATAAAGCCAGGGCCCGCTGGATTATGTGAAACTTGGGAGAAGGACTCATGGAGACAGCGAGCGGAGCAACGCAGGATGAGGGGGCTCAGACAGGCCCTCCATCCCATGGGAATGTGCTGGGCCACAGCTCAGGAGCCGTGGGGAAAGCAGATTCCCGATTTTGGGCTGGTGTCATGACTCTGGTGTGGGTTTGTGTTGCTCCAGTAACATCATTTGGGGTGGAAGTGGGGGTGTTTCGTACTAAACCTCCCGGACAGCCGTCCCCTCCCATGGCTTTCCCGATGCCGAGGTCGATGCCTTGCCCCTGGCTGGCTGAGGAGGAGCCATCTGTTTTTAAATTTCCAAGTGGAAGGAACGCAATTAGGGAAAGGCTGGTCATGTGGTGCTATTTATATCTCAGAGGGGCAGAGGAGCATCTGTCTCTGCAGCTCCAAGCTCAGCCCCGGGATGTGCCGGGACCTCCGTGCTGGAAACGGGGCGGCTTCCTTGTTTTTGCTCCTCCACGGTCCCCGTTGGAGTTGGATTTCTGAAACCAGAACCTGTTCCTTTATCTAACGAGCCTCATTGCTCCTGGGAGCTGCAACCAGGAGTATCCCTGCTAACGAGTCATTACCCCTGACTCCAGTAATTCCACCAACAGCCTGAGGAGATGACGCTTGGAAGCATGTGGGTGATATATGGGAATACTCACAAATGAGCAAAACAAGGGCATAATTAGGGAGGCCAGAGGGAGTCTGGAAGCGGTGATAAAGCAGCCTGCAGCTCTCTGGCGAGGGCAAGGCAGGAGACCTGGAGAGGGATCACGTCATCCGCAGCGCTGCTGCCAGACTCCCGCGAGGTCGGGGAATGGGATGTTCTGCACGGAGCTATGTGAACTATTTTTTTTTCCTATATAAATAAAATATCTCCGAGGTGAAAGAGAGCCAAAGATGGGGGGAGATGGGGGGGGGTGTGTTGAGAGGAGGTGGAATCGAGCCAAAGTTGGGGCAGCCTCTGGGAAAAGTGGGGTTTTGCTATTTCTGTAAATAAAACAGGCCGGTGGCAGAGTTTGCATCATTGTTTTTGAAAAGACAAAGGGAAAAGGCCTTTTTTGTGGCACGTCCTGGTTGTCTTTTCCCCTTCTTCCCTGCTATAATAGTGTGGGACAGGGACCCCTGGGTAAGCCAGAGGGTCTGAGGTGGGAATGTGAGAGGGGTGTTTGCAGCCTTTGCCTGGAACACAGGCAGCCTCCCTCTGAGGGCATCGTCCCCCAAAATAAAGTGCTTTTTCCACTTGGCAAATACATCTGTTACCCTTTAAGCTGTCCCGTGCCTCGGCCCGTGCTGGCAAACAGTCCTGTAGATGTAAACACGTCATCCACGTCCACATTATCACTGTCACAGGGCAGCTGCACTGTGAATAAGGGCACTGGGATGGTTTTTGGTCCCAGGCACCTGCGGGAAGCCAAGGAATCTATTTTCACCGTAGGATATCCCCAAAAATATGTACAGCCTCTTCCTTGCACTGTGGGCAAGAGAGAGTCATTCTTTTTGACAACCCAGGCACAGGGTTGATCAGGAAAGCTGACACCCCATTTCTGTTCTCTTTCATGAAAAGGGAATTTATTTCCTTGGGGGTTATATAATTTTAAGTGAAGGTGGCAGCTTTTCTTCTCCCTTTATTCCCTCCTGTATTTTAGCAGCAGCATTTGAGCAAAGTGAGTGATTTTTTTAATAGTTTGGGGAGGGCTTTTTTTTTTTCCCAATGCCAGCTGTTTGTTGTTGCTGGACAATACTGAGCTGTAGATCCCAAGGAGTGAGGGAGAACCTTTCCTGTGGGGTTTTGGGGAGGGCAAGCGCAGCACCACGACACCCAATTTGCTTCAAGAGAAGAAGGGGGGGGTGAGTTTTTTTTACTCAGTTTGTGTTTTTTCTTAACCAAGGTGGCCTAATTCACTGCTTCTTGGGTGCCCAAAAAGGTAAAAGGGAGTTTTGCTCATCCTGAGCATCCATGGAGCCTGCACTGCCCTGCGTATGCTCCCAGTCCCAAGAGATTTCCAGGCTGGCTGTGGTTGGAAGGTGCAACAACCATTTCCTGTTTCTACCGAGTTTGAACTACGAGAGGCTGAGGAACACTCAGTATTCACAGCAGAGGTGAAAGGATGGGCCACTGAACAGGCTAAAAAAGGCTCAGGAAGAAAAGGAGAATGCATTATAATTGCACTTCCCTTTGGAAAGCAGAGCTGGAGGAGCTGCCCCTGTTTCTCCCGACCTTTCCAGGTGGCTGTTGTGGTGCTGGATGCATTTATTACACTCGCTTGATGGAAATCAGGAGATGATGCATCTGCTGCAGGAAGCAATCACGGGAACGCCCCAAGCTTTGATGTTTCCTGGGATGCTCCATTTAGGAGTCAGGGCAAACAGCAGAGCCTGTTTCCCAGCCTGCGCTGGGACACCCCAAAAATTTGCAGCGTCATTTAGTCCTGGTTTATTTATTAAGGTCAGGCAGACTGAGGGCTTTGCTTTCCACTGCCAGGGAATTTAGCCAGAGGGAGAAGTGGCTGAGCATCCTCTTCCCAAACCAGCCCTGCCATCAGCCACCCACAATCTTCACACACTAAGAGCTGAACACAAATTGGGGATCAAAAGAACACTCTGCTGTATTTTAGCAGCCAAGTTTTTCAAGGATTAAAAACAAAGCTGTGGAGCAAGCAGCCACATGTGTGAAATGGGTGGTCAGTGCACCTTTCCCATGGGCTCCCAGGCTGTGTCTGGGGCAAAAACCCCACAATTCAGTGGTTAAAAAAGGAAATCAGGAGCTTCTGCACAGGAAAAGAAAGGGAGCAGTGACTGAGCATCCCCGTAATGGTCCTGGTGAGACAAGGCAAAGGATTTCACAGCAGGGCAACACGGGGAAGTGATTTTAGGGAAAGGGTCAAGTGAAAGCACAGGAGACCCCTGCACACTGCTGGCTCTGTCTCAGCAGCCCCCCATTCCCCCCCGAGTCACAGAGCAGCAGCGTTTCAAAGGATGCCACGGCACTGGTGGCTGAACCTCTCCATCCTCTCCTTCGACCTCCCCATCCCTTCCCCCTGGGGAATTTGGGCTCCCTCGCCTCCAACAAGTGGCCGACGTGCCCCAGGACTAAAGGCCAAAATTCAGGTTTATTGTTGGCACTGCACACCCACCCTCCTCTTCCTGTGATCCACCAGGCCCGCCGTGATCCTGCCCCCAGCAGGGGCTCCGTGCTCGGCGTCTCCTCGACAGCGGATGCTCTGCTGCAGAAGCGCTTATAAATTAAGGATTTATGGGGTTGTTTTTTCTTCATCCCTGCTAGGAATCATCGTACAGAGGGTTGTTGTAGTTACCCCAGGAGCCGTAGTCATGGTCGTCCAAAAGCCTTCCGTAGGAGGAGTGCCTGTCAGGGAAAGCAAACCTATTGATTTGGGGGTTTGTTTGCTATTTTACCGTGGGGTGAAGAAATATTCATGCAAGGCCTCCCTAGGTCGGGCTTTGGGATATTTTAGGAGGAAGCACCAGGACAGAAGATAAGTCCAGGCTGGATTTTGCCCCTGTTGAACCAGACTAGACAGGGCAGGGAATTAAAACAAGACCTTTGCTCATCTCAGCTGTCAGCAGAGCCTCATTAGGGATGCTCAGCGCTGGGCTGTGCTGCTGTTTATTGTCCCAGTCACAGCGAGACCCACGGCAGCAGCTTTCCCAAGGGATAATTACGGGTTATGGCTATGCTGAGCAGTGTCTCTGGCATTTGAGCAAGGCTCTTGTAAAATGAGGGATTAAAACTCTGCTTTCCAGTATAGAAGGGGTAGGAAACGCAGCCGTGCTGGGACCAGAGGCTACACATCATGCCACCATGCTTGGGGACAGCATCTCCTCAGGGCTTTGCCCTTGAGCATCACCCTTGTGACGGTGAGAGAGGCTGAAACCTCCGGGGGGGCACCCCAAAAGTAGCCTTACCTGATCTTGAGGTACGCTGCTGCCCCGAACACCAGCACCACCACCACGATGACCGTCACGGTTATGGCCACGATGCTCCCTGTGGGTGATCCATCAGAGAGGGCAAGGTTCAGCCCCCCCAAATCCCCAAAGCTCTGTGGCACTCACCCCACACCCCAGCTGCTCCCAAAACACCCATGCCAGCCATCTCTGACAGGGGGAATATTCCCTCACTGCTTCCCAAAGAGGATGCAGGGCACCCCTATGTTTTTGCAATGACCCCCCTCCCGTAAAGTCAGGGGGACTGGGGATAAAATACACCTGGGCTTTGCTTGGGGGCTGTGGACTCACTCCTGGAAGCTCCTCCCAGCACCAGGTAGCCAAGGCTGGAAAATACTCCACATCCCTCTCTTTTCTGACCTTATGTAATGCTTTTCAGCTACCTGGGCTCATAGAAGGGGACAGGGAAAAGCCAGTGTCAGCTTGGTGAGGTGAACAGGAGGGAGGAGAAAAACCTACATCACCCTAACTCAGGCTGCACCCACCATCCAGCCACTCGTTTCCTCTCATCCTTAAGTGTTTCAAGCCAAATTTACAAAACTAAGGATTTTATTCCTGTCTCCAGGCAACCGAGATTTGTCATCTACAACTCCCGGCCTCTGCCAGCGGAGCAGATGACACAGGCCCCTCCAGGAATGCCACCGAGTGATGCTCCCAGGAAGCTGACCACCTCTTCCCTCCCAATTTGGGGGGGGTCTGCCCCTCCTGCCTGAGCACCCCGAGGCCGGCACTGCATCTCTGAGGAGGGGTGGTGCTCACCTGCGCTCAAGGCGCGCGGCACCTCCTCCATGGTGACTCCGGTGGCCTTGTCGGAGGCCGTGGCCTCGGCTGCGCTGGGGCTCATCACAGTCACTGGGGGGAACGTTGGCTCCACGGCCAGGCTCGATGCCATGGCCAGCGTCCCCAGGGAAGGGACGTCCTCGGTCAGCACCGGTGGCTGGGTGGTGCCAGGGCTCGCCAGGACAGGCGTTGGGGACAGGACTGAGTCCGGATCGCCGGTGGGAAGGGAAGCGGAGGGCGAGGACGCAGCTGTGCCCGTGGGGCTGGAAGCTGCCCCCAAATCCACGGTGCTTCTTGCCAAGCTGGCAGGGTTTGCTGTCCGAAGAGCTGGGGCTGTCTCCGAGGCGGGTGGCACCGAGCTGGGGTCGGAGGCTGCGGAGGGACTGTCTGTCACGGCGATGGAGCTCACGGTGGCGGAGGCGGGAGCGGGGGACAGTGCTGCCACGGGGGTGGTGGCATTGAGGCCACCCCCCTCCACTGGCCCAGAGGACACGCCATCTCCGGAAGGTCCCGTGGGCACGGGCAGGGAGGGCTGATCAGGAGCTGGTGTGGGGACATCTGCATCCCTGGAGTCCGGTGGCACTGGGATCCCCTGCCAGAGGAAGGGGGGGCTGATGGGGTGCAGGCGTGATTCTGGGGAGTCATCGCCCAGTCCTGGGAGTGAGACAAGGAAATATTAAAAACAGGGAAGGCCTTGGGGGTGACCTGAGGCATGAGGAAAGCACTAAAGGTTTGGGGGAATTAGGCTGGAAATAAGTTTGGTTTTAAAACACTGAGAACCATCTAAAGATAAAGAGATGGAAAATGGAGCTGCGTACCTAGAGGTGAGGTTTGAACCAGACCAGTTGCCCTGGCATAAATCAACCCCCATTTTTAACTCAAGCTTGGAATTCCTCCATTCCCAATCACCCCCTCCATCTTTCCAGCATCTCCTCCCAGCAGCAGGGGAGGAAGCTCCTCCTCACAGCAACCACCGTGCAGCTGGGAATGATAACACAAGACGCCTCTTTCTCCTCTCCCCCCATTTCCTTGTGCATTCATTCATTTGTCTCCATTTCTTAGTATGAAGATGAGTCATTTTCTCCTCCGTCCCCACCAGCTGACTGCTGGGGCTTTTTTCTCCCCCTTTCTGGGCCTGAACTCAGCACTGGTCCAGCACTGGCAGCTGGCTCCCTCAGTATGGTTGGGATGAGGGAAGAGTGTGCCAGCACTACGTGACATTGGGACGCATTTTTATTCCATCTATTCATCTATTTACGCCCCCAGAGCATCCCAAACCCAGCACTGGGAAGAGCAAGAACTCATTCCAGCTGCAATGAACTAATCATATGAGCGTGGAGGACAAAACCATTCAGTGTCTGTGTGTAGAAATGGTGGGATGTGGCAGTGTTGAGCAGGGACTCACTAATCCAACCAAAATTTCTTTCACTGGTACTGTGGATGCCCAAGTGAAGGACTCCATTTCCCAAGGAAAAGAGTCTTGGACATGAGACTGAGGCCATGGCTGCTCTTCTCTCCCAGGGACAGGCACTTGGAGATGCCTCTGAGTTTTCACCCTCCTCAGGCTGAGGACACAAGGCTAATAAACCTTAGGATAAGGGAGAGGAGGGGGATGACAGGCTGGAATATGGTTACTGAATAAGCCACCTGGCTCAGCACTGTGGCTTTCCAGACCACCAAAGCAGCAGGGAAGCCTGGAGCAAGCATCCTTCAGATCAAGGTTCAGCACCCATCTGTGTTTCAATAATCCTTGCTCTGACACACCTGGGCATTCCAGATTTCTCAACAGGTACCAGACAGCCTCTGCAGCCCAGAGTGCCCATCAAGATTCCCCCCAGGGCTGGGAGCACCTTGAAAGTTTGTCACCTCTCTAGATGTAGATGCTCCCAGGCTCTCTGGGACACAGGACAGATTTCCATCTCTGAGCAAAGCCTCCCTGAAGTCCCAAATAGCTTGGGGTCAGCAGAGCTCCCATGATCTGCTTGAACTTTGGAGGCAAACCAACAGGGAGCTGGGAAAGCTGGCAGTGCTGCAAGCCTGGATGAGTCAGGAAGTTTCTGATAATATCTGAGGGGTATAAATTCAGAGGGTGAGCCAGAACTGGATGCAGGAACAATCCTTGGCTGCTGGCTGAGTGCTGCTGGCCAAGAAGGTCACAAGTCACAACGACACTTCCCAGGAGAGAGGGCACAACTTGAAGGCAGCACGCTGCTCAGCTCAGGCCTGGTTTTCCCTGTCTCTCCCCACCAGCAATCCCTGCCTGTGCCAGCACTGGGCCGTCCTCTGCTTCCTCCAAGCCATCAGCTCCATCAGGTGATGTGGGACCCAGGCCAGTGGACCCCCTTGGGGTCCAGCTCTCACCCACAGCGCACGATCCCAGGAAATCCCAGCCACGATCCTAGAGGCAAGGCAGGCTGCTTCTGAGTTGGACTCAGGATGAAAGGACAAAAAGAACCTGTCTGAGAACCCTGTTGGGATGCTCTGAATGTCCCCATGTCACTCCACCCTGCTCAGGGACAACCTGTCCCACAGATGGGTTGATGACTGGCCCCAGTTTAACTGCCAGTCCTGTCCTCTACCATCACACCTGAAAGGGAAGATCAAAGGGACAAAGAAAACCCAAGGAAGGTATTTCCTTGTTTCCCCAGTGCCCGGTCTGTAGGAGCTGCTGCTGGGAGCAGGGAGCAGAGCAGTGCACTGGAATAAGGGACAAAATAAACAACTACAAAACTCCTTTAAGACCACATCCAGTGGCTAAAAAAACTCAGCCAGGGGCTGTCAGAGGGACTGAGGGTTGTTAGCTCCCAAAGGATGCCGAGCATAGCTCAGCCCTGAGGAATCTGCCCATCTAATTCACTTAAGGCAGTTGACCACCCCGCTGGAATCCAGCACAGAGCCGAGGCAAGGGACTGCCAGGACAAGGTAACCACCTGGAAAAGCAGCAGGGCCACACTTCAGAGCCCCACAGGAGCTTTGGAAAGTCCTTTTTCCAGATTTTCTTCACTAGGAATACAGAAAACAGCCAAGGACAGAACAACACAAAGCCCAATAATTCTAATATTCTGCTGTTGGGAAATATTCACCCTAATGACCTGCCAACCTAAGTAATGAGCCATCCATGTGATGGACTGCCTCCCTCTCCTATTGCAATGCTGCGCTCCTGGCCCCTGGAAGCCACACAGAGAGACAGGCATCGCCCCTGTGGGAGCTGAGCACCTCTCGTGCTCCATTTGGGAAAGAGGTGCCTGACCTGGGGCTGGCAAACTCTCCAGCAACGCATTTCCCAGGCACTCCAAAAACCACTGCAGCAAATCCTAAACTGCTCTGCCGGCTGAAACGCAGCATAAAAGCCACTGGAGAACATCTCCAGGCTGAGTGAATGACATCAGATGGAGCAGCCTCGCCGGAGCAAACAAACATCCCCTGATAAGGCAGAGACAGGGCTTTTATCAAGCTTCACTTCGGAATTCATTTTACTTGACATAACCAGCAGGAGATCCATGTGATCTAACCCACACCCCTGCTCTCAGCCCAAATTAACTGAGGCACCCAAGCCCCAGCTGCAGTCAGGGGTGCTCCTCCAGCAGCCAAGGCCTCAGGGATAATGAAAGTTTCCATAACATGAATATTATCCATTCCGCCTGCCAGCAGCATATCCTGACTGTACTTAAACAAGGAATCCAGCCACCTGTTCTGAACAAGAAATACAACAACAGGATGAAAACAAGCCCCTGGAACACGGAGATCTGCTGAGCACCCATATCACACTGTGCCTCTGCAGCAAGATTGGGTACCACTTTCTATATTAGCTTATCAGCTCAGCAGCTGGTTTTGGGGTAAACGCAAAAAGAAAACCCCCATGTAACCAAGACTGTACCTAAGCACCAGACTGCTCTTTAAAGTAGAAGTCTACAATAACCTCACTCTTTAACCTATTCAGAGCAAGCAGAAAAGAACCTTTTGCAGGTCCTGTATTATGCTGGTCCTCACCAAGTGCTGATGACAGAACAGCCCTGACTCCCCTGGTCCTGCAGTGTGTGTTGGTTTGTAACCAGGTTAAGTGACGCAGAGCAATAAAACAATCTACATTTAAATATAAAGCTTTCCTGTTCATGACCTCGCTGGCTTGGCTTTGGTTTCTGTGGCCAGGGATTCCCATACCTTGTGCTGCTTTCTTTGCAGTTCCCTTCCTCCCTGTCTATGCTCCGCTGTAACCTTCATTGCGGTTTTTAGCTGTGAAACCGGTACCATCTGGCTGTGGATGGCAAAAGCTCTCCTGACGGTGGCTGGGACTAAACAAAACTCGGGGTTGCTTTGGGTTCAACTAGTTTTTCCAGCTCTTCAGCCCTGCACTGCCTCACCTTCCCTGTCACCACGCAGTTTGGGGTTTAGTGACGTTCACTTCTCTCCTGCCTGGCTGGAGGCCCCATCTGCAGCACACAGGGGTCTGACTGATCTCTGTGCTGACATGGGGGAAGGAACATAGAGGATGTGGTGGCTTTTAGGGCTCTTCATTTGTGTCTTTCTTTTCCTAGGGCACTGTTGTGGAGCCCTGCCTCATTATCCCCCGAAAAGTACGGATGATGGGGAGGCCTGGGAGCAGCTCTGCAGGCCCGAAGCTCTGTCTCACACCCACCAACCTTTCCATGCCATTGCAGAGGGAACACCCAGCTGGATTAGCAATGGGAAAAGGTAGCTCCTGGGGATATCTCTGGCTGCTGTTGGGCCTCAATTAGTAAACCAGAGCCAAGGTGGAGACTCCTGAGGTCCGAAGCAAAGCTCCAGCACTGCATGTGAGTGCTGGTGACCCATAATGTGCTGCTCCCTTGCCTCCTGCTCCATCACCTCTGTTTTCAGTGCCAGGTTCTGTTGGTGACAGTATAAAACTGGCTCTGAGAGGAGGAAGAAATCAAAGGGAGAAAACCAGGGGCCAGAAACACCAGCAGGTAAAAGGCAAAGCTATTCCCTGGCGGTGCAAAGAAGTCAAGGCCGTCAGATCAAATAAATCTGCAGTTGCTCTGATTTACTGGCGAGCCGAGCCGGCTTCCTGCATGATTAGTTTTATTCTGCTGCATGGTCGTTGAGTGCTTTAGGTCTAATTGCTCTGAAGCTTTCTGTAGCTAAGAGAAACAGCTCCACAACAGAAATCCATGTGATGTATCTGTGTGTCCCTCACCATCCCGAGGCTCTGTCCCAAGCGTGCAGCTGGCCAGGGGTGTGTGCAGCACCTCACGGGTGTTCATTCTACTGATGAGGCACCCCATCAGTACCCACTTCCCCAGATGTACCAGCATCTCTTGGAGGTGCACAGCCTGGCTTCTGCAAAAGGCAGCAGCAAGACCCACGTGGCTAAATAAAGGTGGGGATTTGGGGAACCTGGCGCTCTCTGCTCCTCCCAGATGAGAATAACTTTTAAAATCCACACGGCTGCCTGCATGCTGAACAGTCCCTGTAAGCAGCTCCTTCCTAGCCTGGGGTGGGTGTCCAAGTTCTCCTCAGGCACCACTCACCCCATGACCCCGACCCAGGCGTGAGGACTGTTGGTGGCAAAACAAACCCACCCTCCATGGAAGGAAAATGTGGTGTTTCCCCCCAAAGCGAAGTGTTGCTTAATTATTCAACTCCTGAAGCCCTTGATCCTGAAACTGCAACGGAATTACAGCACAAAAGAAGGTGAAGAGGAGTCTTTAGGTGTTTGGGAGGACGGCAGATGGACCTGCCTGCCTGGGACACCTCATATTACTTTTTCCCAGGCGGATATCTTGGGTATGACTCCGGAGCCAGCCAGGAATGTTGCAAACAGCAGCTCTGCCCAAGTGACAACGTAACAGCTCCGTAATTTTCCTGGCTAGCTGCTAATTACTGCTTCTAGGTGCAGCTTTCAACGTGCATCAGCCCCATTCCAGCCCTTCCCATGAGGAGAAGCAACTGGGTTCGGCAGAGGAATTTTGGAGCATCCTCTGGTATTAGAGGCTGACTGCTCCTTTGGGCTGGGAGAGGGGATAATTAACTACCTATCCCTCCTGTCCTTCAGAGGGGGCAGAGCTAGGAATGCTCAAAGCTTTACCTCCTCCATGGCAGCTGAAAACAGCCCCTGAGGCTCCCAGTTCCCTAAAAAGTAGCTTTTCCACCCCAAGTCTCCAGGAGGAAGCACTCAAAACCTTTAAAGCCAAGAGCTGCCTCTTGCAGGTACTTCAAAATGCCTCAGCCAGGGCACAGGGTAAATTGCTGAAGGGGAAAACAGGCTCAGTGCTGGGCATCATCACAGGAAAGCAAAGCAGGTTTGAATTTACATCCCAAGCAAGGAGTAATAACAGGATTAAAACTTCCTTGAGCAAGACGCTGTTATTTCATTACGTGAGCAGGCAAAGCCCAGACTTATTTTACTCCTGCCCAGTGACGTCCTTGCTGTCACTAAGTCCTGAAGAATGAACTCGAAGCATATTTAAATCGTGCTCTGTGTTTCCTCCCAAGTGATACACATATATACATTTAAGAATTATTTTTGTGGGGAGAAAAAACTCGTAGAAAGCATCTGAAAGATGCTCTGGGAGTGTTTGGGAGCAGCCCGAGAGCCACGGGACCATAGTCCAGGGAAATCTTTCCCGGCTCTTCTGCCAAGCCTCTCTGGCGTTGGTGCTTTAGAGAGGGATGGTCGTGGGAACGGCTTCGGGTTTGGCCCGGGCGCTGGGAAAAACCCGCCTCCCAACCCCAGAGGTTGGCTCCCAGCAGAGGCTAGCTGCTTTTGGGGCAAATTTGGGCCAGGCAGGAGCCTGTCAGAGCATCCCCGTGGAGCAAAACGTTCATCCCCATCCCTCCCAAAGGCATCTGTTTGGAAAGCACAGAAACAGGAGCTTGTTGGTAAACTGCCCCTTTACAGGGACTAAGATTCATCCAGCCCTCCCTCCCCTCACACCACTGGGGTCACTTATCAGGGGAAGGTTTCCTACAAGCTGATGTGGTTCACGGTGATGGTTTTGGGGTCCTGCAGCCACGACCTCCCCAGCTGTGGGCTGTCACAGGGAGCTCCGAGCTGGCCCTGCTGCCTCGTCCCCTCGCGCTGCTCTGCCGGCAGGGATTGATAATGACAGCTTTGCCCGATGGATTTCTCCTCGCGCGCGTCCCCGGTTATGCAAGTGTGTTTTCCATGTTTCTGAGGAAGCGGCTCCTCGTGTTGTTTATTAAAAACCCAGACGGGGTGGGTGGCGGGGTGACCTGTGCTCGCTGTCGCATCGGCCGGGGACAGAACTGTCTCCTCTGACCATCTCAGTGGGGGAAAAGATGTCAAATGGGGTGTTTCTGTGGAATGGGGAGGCTGGTGCTGCTGGGGGGGAGATGCCTGGAGCTGGTGGGGAAAACACCAGGAGCTGGGGGTGCGGGAGCCTCCACTCAAGGCCAGGGAGAGACAGAAAAGCTCCTTCAAAGCAGTGACCGTGCTGGGAAGGGGGATGCGGGGCTGGGGGTGAGCACCAGCCCGGGCAGGGGGGTGCCCGTGAGGAGATGGTGGTGGTCCCATGAAGTTGTCCTCCTTCAAGGCAGCCGGGAACACGGCTGCGGACGCCCCTGCGGGGCAGGGGATGAGGAAAAGAGGAACGAAACACCCCTTGCCCCATCCCACCGGTGCCACTGGGGGATCCTTTGGGGGGGCGTGAGCGAGACCAGTGGTGGCGGGTTGCTCTGCGGAGCCCTTCTCCGGACATCCTGCCGGGAAGGAGCCGGGCCGTCCCCGGCAAAGCGAGGTCTGCCTTCCCCCCGTCCCCACCGCATCGCCCCCATCCCGGCACCGGGGGCTCCCCGGTGTGCCCCCCCCCCCCCGTCCCCACGCCGGTGCGGCGGCGGGCGCTTACCTGCCGGGAGGAGGAGGAGGGCGAGGAGGAGGAGGCGGCAGCAGCAGCCCATGGTGCCGGCGGCGCTGGCAGCCGCGGCGGGAGGGACGCACCGCCCGGCCCCGCCACCGCCACCGCCCCGGCCCGGCCCCCGCCGCCGCCACCGCCGCCGCCGCCGCCGCCCCCGACCGGCCCACAGCGGCACCTGCCGGCTCCGGGCAACGCGGCGGGGATGCGGGACAGCGCGGGGGGCACGCCGGGCACCGGGAGGAGGATGCGGGGCTCTGGGAGGAGGATATGGGGCACTGGGCACTGCGTGTGGGACCGCAGCGTCAGTGGAGCTGGCTGTAGGGTACCAGGCACCAGAACACCCTACTGGGGTACTGACGCCGGGAGCAGTTGCCCTGCCCTGGGATGAGGCACTGGGACTGGATGCTGAGCACCTCACACTATCAGTGGGCATCATGCACCGAGGACAGGGCATGGGGTGCTCTTGTCCCAGCCAGTGGCACCAGGTGGGGGATCAGGGTGCTCTGTGGCACTGTCACTTGTCCCTCTTCATCCTCAGGGCCATGCCAGCTCCTGCTTGAATATAATGCATTGGAACTGTGCATTGGCACAGGTTGGGCAGAGAAGCTGTGGCTGCCCCATCCCTGGAAGTGTCCAAGGCTGGATTGGACGGGGCTTGGAGCATCCTGGGCTAGTGGAAGGTGTCCCTGCCCATGGCAGGGCGTTGGTACAGGATGAGCTTTCAGGTCCTTTCCAACTCAAATTTTTCTGTGATTCCATGATTCTGGAAGATCTCCCTGAGGATCTTCTTGCCTGCTACACCCAGGGGGTCTGGTGCCCGTGGTGGGGGGACACCCCAGGTACCTCATCAGGGGGAGACAGGCCAGAGCCAGGTAGCCAGGGACCTACCTTCCCTCAGCATGAACAACTCCCAAAATACAACTCCCAGTGCCCAAAGGACCCAGCCAGGAGACACCTGTGGCACAGCAGGAGGTGAGAGGGCCATTTTTATTTTACCCCTTTCATTCTGGGAAGTGCTTTGCTGCGGGTGAAATGTTTTCAGGCTGAACTCATCATCTCCGGGCTCTCGCATGCTCGCTGTGGAAAAGGATGTCACGGAGCCCAGGCTGTGGCCAAGCTATCTTTATCCAGGGTTATGCAGCCCTATTCTATTCTATTGCATTGTGTGGCATTTTCTCAGGATGGATCTTGGCTCTGGGCCTAAAACAGCAGGACACAAAATCCAAGTCAGCTGGCGTTCCTGAAGCGGACGGTGTCGGGCGATATCTCAGCTCTCCTTGAAACCTTCCCTCTGCTTGGGAAAAGGAAAAATAATGCTGTTATTGCTGCTGGAGCTTGGTGCCGTGGGAACAGTGTGATAATCTCCCTGCTGCTTCTCTCCCATCTCTTTTTTTTTGTCGATGGTGCTGCATGCTTCCATGTGCAGGAGGAGTTTTTTGAGGAGAGGGCATAGCCGCCACTTCCCACCGTGGCCTTGGATGGAAAACCCCAAGCCTGAGGTGGGTGTTGGGGTGCCGAGGGCTGGGCTGTGGGAGGCCTGGAACATCCCTGATGGTCACCAGGCTTGGGCTCCAGCTGCCATCTGCTGGCCACTCCTGCCTGGTCCCCTCAGTAAAGCAGAGGACACATGGCCAGCGAGATGTCCCTTTTTGGGTATACCTTCTGCCAGTCCTTTCCCATTGCTACTGGAGATTGGAAACCACCACCTCTGGTGACACCTGCCCTGGGGCTCCAGTTCTTTTCAAATCACTTTAAAAGGCTTTCTCTCCCCAACTTTATCCAGATATGAAGGATGCTGAAGGGAGACTGTTTCCTTTTGGTGGGCACAGGGATTTTTTCCTGCCTGCTCCCTGCCTTTGCCCGCCCCACCGGGATGAAACCAGCTCCTCTTGGGTGGCCCCATGCCACATCCAGGTGCCAGCTGCCAGTTTCACCAGTCTTGCCCAAGTCCCCACAGGAGCTTTGGAACGTTTCCCTCGTGGTTTATTTTATAACCCCCTGCCTGCTTTTGGGGAGCTGCTGGCAGGGAGCCAGGGTGGCCACGGGCAGGGGGCTGGGTGGTACCGGCGTGCCAGAGCTTGCGGCAGGATTTTTTGGCTGACCAGGGCTGAGGGAGCTCGCTCACCCCCTGGCCAGCAGCCAAATGGCATGGCTGGGTGGCTGCCAGCACTTGCATTAATAGCTGCCAGCCTGCGGTTTGAGGTCACCCGTTCTTTCCAGTCTTTCATTTCCACCTTCTTTCGCGCCTGTAACGACCCGGAGCAGGCAGCAGCTCCACCTCCCCATCCTGCCCGCTCCCCTCTTTGCTGGACCAGGCTCTTTTGCTTTCCTTGGAGCCAGGACAGCATCAGCCCGTGGCACCACAACCCTCCTGAGCATCCCCAGATGCCAGGAGGGGACCTGCCAGTATCCCAGGGGTCACCTTCACCCTTGTTCCTCTAGACTTCACTCGGGGGGCCAGAAACATCATCCCACACATCCTGAGGCGAAAAACCACCCCAAGGCCAGCGTGCAGAGGGCTCGTGCCAAGGCACAGCCCCTCGCAGGATGACTCTGAGCTGCCGTCATCCCCTGCCAAGGCCTTTGGGAGTGTGTTTTATAGCTGCTTGCTATGAATAAATCTCCCTTTTCATAACAAGCTGGCCGGGGATAAATGGCTCTGGGGACGTGAGGCTGGGCCTGGGTGCACACCCTGCGTCCCTCCGGGGAGGGGAGCCCCGGAGCCCCTCTCGGAACCCGGGATGGCAGGAGAGGGGTCCACCTCCCTGCCCAAATCCCCACGGATGCTGGGGTGAGGCATCTGCTTGACGCCTCCCGGTAGGACGGGGCCAGGCGTGGCTGGTGTGAGGTGGGACGTGCCTCGGTGGGACAAGCGTGGGTGGGACACACGGGAGGGTACACGCCGGGGGGGCACCCCCAGACCGCCAAGGGATGGCTTCAGCGGGGTGGGAGCCGCGCAGCTGGAAGAGGAGGAGGCGGAGGAGGAGGAGGAGGGCGGCGGTGCCGGAGCGGCCGCCCCCGTCCCGCCCCGCCGCAGCCGCCGGGCACCGGGCACCGGGCAGGCGGCGGCGGCGCGTATGGAGGCGGCGGCGGCGGCCCCGGCCCCGGGCGGCGGCCCCGGTACCCTGCTGCTCTGCCTGGCCCTTGCCTCCGGTAAGCACGTGGGTCCCCTGCCCCGCCACTGTCCCGGTCCCGGGATACCCAAATACCGACAGAGGGTGTTCCCTCCTGTCCCGGCCCGGTGCCCACCGCCCCGGCCCGGTGCCTCCCTCTCCTGCACGGTGTCACCCCCACCGTCCCAGCCCCGTTCTGTCTCCGGTCCCGGTGCTGCTCCTGCCCCATTCCACTGCTTCCCGGTCCCGCGCTGGTGATCCTCCACCTGCCTTCTGGTCCCATGCCGGTGCTCCCCCGTGCCTGTCCTGGTGCTTCCCCATCCCATCCTGCTGCTCTCCCGGTCCCATTCTGCTGAACTCCTGTATCCCCTGCTGTCCCACCCCATCCCGATGCTGACGCTGTCCCATCCCAGCGTTCACCCTGTCACCCTGCTGTTTTCTCTAGTCCCGTCCCAGTGACTCCCTGCGTCCCCCTGGACAATCCCATCCCAGTCCTTCCCCCACACCCAGCCTGGTGTTTACCCAGTCCCCTCCCTCGGGTGCCCCATGTGTCCCCAGGTCTCATCCTGGAACTCCCCAGCATTCCATTCCAGTGCTCCTCTTGGCTCTGAGTCACTGAATCCTTTGGGACCAGGGTATCCTGGCTGGATCCTGGAGCAGGACTGGGATGCTTTTCCCACCTGTTGATGGGGCAGGGCTCGCCGGTGCCCAAATACCCTCTGCCATCCTTGGAAGCACTGGGGAGGGGGGGATGCTGCAGGGAGTGGAAGGGGGCAGTACCTATTCAACAGGTGTGTGAGCTTTCCGGTGTTACTCTCTAAGTGTTTGGAAGCAGGAAGCTGCAGGCAGCAGCCATCTCAGGGCTGGCAGGAGATAACCACAGGTAGGGCTGGGCAACTGATGTCCCCCTGGCAGAGACTGCCAGCACCAGAATTACAAGGGAGCTCTCCTCTCCGCTGGGAACAGTTTGGGTTTGGCCTTTTGGCAGGGCTGGTGACAGCACTTGGCAGAACCTGCCAAACCTGTGCTGGCAGGAGGAAAGCAAGGGTGGCCGACCTGTTTCGGGGCTGAGGTGTCCTATCAGACCAAGACAATGCCCTGGGTGGTTGCTCTCCCGCAGTTTGGGCTTTCCCGGTGGAGTGTGGGGGTGCTACAGCGAAATAATCCGGTGTTTGGGATACTTTCCTGGGTTATCTTTGTCTGCTCAGAAAGGAGTGAAGCCTTAGACAGTGGAGCTGGGTTCTCTGTGCATCAAAGAGATGAGGGTGTTTGCACCCGCAGCTCCCGGGTGCTGCGATCCGGGTGCCGAGGGGCACAGCCCCCCTCCCTCCGGACCTGGCGCTGCCCCAGGGCGGTCCTGCCGAGGGGCTGCCAGCCCGGAGGATGCCAGAGCTCCGCATCTGGTTGCAATAAGGGTGGGGATCTCATCTTGGTGGGGATCTTTCCATGTCGAGCTGTGAACTCGGTCACCGGGAGTGAAGTCAGACTCCCTCCCTGCACCACCGCGTGCCCACGCCGCCCGCAGCTGCTTCCCGGGGAGAAGCCGCCCCGTGGCTCATCCCTGGCTCCTGCCAGGCAGCTCCCACCCTGCCTCTGGGCTGGAGGGGGCCGTGGGCTCCGTTTCCTCCCCGCCGGGCTCTTTTGGAGCTCTGTTACCCGGAGCATGTCATTAGCGCGGCAGTGGCTATATATAGCCAGGAGGGACGTGTGTGCAGGGAATGTCCCTGCCGTGGGAAGGGGGGGACTCCGGAGGCTTGGCTGGGCAGCCTCCACCACTGTTTCCAGGGTGCCGAAGGGCAGGGTGAGAAAACAGGTACCAGGAGACGAGGCTGCCAGGATTAGACTGTGCAAGCTGTCCACTCTCTGAGAAGCCTCGACGTGCACCCCCTCGGGATGGGAACATCCCCCGCCTCGGCGTGTCACCCTCGCGGGAGCCGCCCAGTACCCTGCCCCGTCAGGCAGGACCTGTCCCCGCTCCCGTGGGTGCCACCGCGGCGCGGTGAATCCCTGGGGAGGGCCGGGCGGGGAGCGGGGCCGTGCTGAGTCAGTGCTGGTATGCCAGCGATCCGGTTACCGCCGCCGTGACGCGCCTCAGCCACCTCTCAGTTTCGTCTCGTGGCCAAGGAGACCGAGGTGGCCTCTTTCCTGGCTCAGTTCGCGCTGCACTCCAGGGAGACCACAGAGCACCTTTCAGTGCCTAAAGGGTGTCCAAAAGAGCTGGAGAGGGGCTTGTCGCAAGGGCTTGGGGTCACAATACAGAGGGGATGGCTTCACACTGACAGAGGACAGGTTTAAATTGGGTATCAGGAGAAAACCTTCCTAGTGAGTGTGGTGAGGCCCAGGTACAGGTTGCCGGGAGAAATGTGGCTGCCTCATCCCTGGAAGTGTCCAAGGCCAGGTTGGACGGGGCTTGGAGCAAAGTGCACTAGTGGAAGGTGTCCCTGCCCATGGCAGGGGTGTTGAAACAAGATGCCCTTTACAGTCTGTTCAAACTCAAACCAATCTGTGATTCCATGATTCCGGACGTCCCTGGGGATCCATCCCTGCATCCTCCCAGAGCAGAGAAGCAGCTGGCTGCCTGCAGGCAGAACTGTGTGCCCCAAAACCCTCCCCTCTGGCTCCCAGACCCCCGTGCTGGGGCGTTGCTGGGTGGAGGCGATAGGCGGGGACCAGCTTTCCCTTCTCCTTGCCCTGGGGAAAAGCTGATGCTGCCAGGGAAGGGGGGCCGTGGGCGCAGCTGCAGAGCCCATCGCCGGTCCCCACCCTGTGGCTGTGGTGGGGCTGTGGTGGGGATACCGGGGCTCTGGCCAGGCTCCCCCTCCAAGCCACCTCCACTGCGTTCCAGGTTTGGCATTCTTCAGCTGCGTGGGCGCCGACGCCAACGTCACCGCCGGGCACAGCACCGAGGGGCTCACCTGTGACACGGTCAAGGGCTGCACGGGTAAGGTGGAGGTGTGAGGATGTTCAGGGGAGCCGGGGGCGTTGGATGGGAGCTGGATGGTGCAGGGGAGCGGGCTGGGATGGCACAGGAGCAGGTGTTTTGTCTGGCAGAGCCGTGCAGCGTCCACGGAGCTGGGAAGCCAAGGCTACACGTGCTGTTTGCAGCTGGCCAGGCTCGGACCTGCCGCTCTGGGATGCTGCTGCTTCTGGGCAGAGCCGTAACCCCTCTGGGGGAATTCTCTGTCCTTGCCACCCCCAGGGAATGGGACGCAGCTGCGGCGGCAGGGCCACTTCTCCCGGTGCCCGGAGGAGTACAAGCACTACTGTGTCAAGGGGAGGTGCCGCTTCCTCGTGGCCGAGCAGGCGCCGGCCTGTGTGTAAGTCACTGCTGGTGGCTGGCAGGGGGTGGGACGCCGTGCTCCCTGGGACAGTGGGGTGAGGGAGGCACGGGCACCACGGCGGTTTTTGGGACCCCTCCCTTCTGCCTCCCCTGTGCTGTGGGACAGGTGCGAGCGAGGCTACACCGGGGCTCGCTGCGAGAGGGTGGATCTGTTCTACCTGCGAGGGGACCAGGGCCAGATCGTCATCATCTCCCTGATCGCCGCCATTGTCACCCTCATCATCCTCATCATCGGCATCTGCATCTGCAGTCAGTACGTCGAGGGACGGGAAGGGAAGGGAAGGGAAGGG